AGCTTGATTTGATGAATTAGAATCTAAACGAGTTGAAACTTTGCGAGAATTACTATCTGGAATAACAATATCATGTTTTTTGCATAATATAACAGATCTATCAAACATTTGTTTGTATTCACTGTCATCATTTCTCATACTATCTAATGTACTTCTCAAACTATTAACATTTTTCATTGCCAAAACAAGATTAAGATTTGGTTCTTGGAGTAAGGTACTAACTTTTAAAATTAACATTAAAATTGGATTCATCATATGCATACCAAAAATGAAATCAAAGGTTTTTAATTGATATAATAAACCAATTCCTTTAGCTCTCATCTCTGGCACTGAACAATTTTCACAAATGTTTTCTATTGCAATAATCAAAACTTCATAATTATTCATAATTGCTTTCACAGCTTCTGCTCGACAAGCCCATCTTGTATTTGAACATGACTTCAATGTGTGGAGTTTATCACCAGTTTCTTTTGCAACTTTTTCCAGAGTTGCGTGTCGCATAGGACTACTTTCTATAAAGTTATATATGAATTGAACAGTTCCTAAAAAATTAAAAACTAATCGATTTTGTTTTCCTTTAGAATTTGATTTTTCACATATAGAATCAACCAACACTAAATTTAAGCAATGAGCGTAACAATGTACATACATTATGCTATTGTTTTTCTCTTTGCATTTTGATTGAACGCCATTTAAATGACCAGACATGGTCGATGCTCCATCAAAACAAACAGATAAAACATCTTCCCATTGTTTATTCATAAGATCCAATACACTACATAATGAATTAAAAATGTCTTGCGCTGTGGTTGATTTTAAACGTTGCAATGACACTAATGTTTCAATTGGTCGATTTTTTTCTTCGTCAAAATAACGAATTATAATAGAAATTTGTTCGTGATGACCCACATCACTGGTTTCATCAGCCAATATAGAAATAAATGAATTTTGAACATTAATTTTAATTGTTTGTAAAATAACATTATGAATAGACATAATCAAATCATTTTGTATGCGATTACTTGTGTACAGTGCATGTTTTGGACCTTCTATGAGATGTTTTTTTAAAACAGTATCATATTTTGATAGTAAATTAACCAACTCTTTAAAAAGACCTTGATTTACACTGTGTGAACTTTCATTATGCCCACGGAAAGGTCTACCACCTTTGACTAAACAAATTACAATGTCAATTAAACGATTCATAGTTAGTCTATTATTTTGGCGTTCTATTTCTTTTTGACTAGTTTCATATGCATGTCGTTCATCTATCTTAGAAGCTATAGATTTATTGTGTATATAGTTATGTAAAGCTGTAGAACTATTCAAATGGTACTTTGATAATTGATGTTTTTTAAATGCCTCCCCGGCTCTATACCATGCACTGAACCCTTTTTCAAAAAAAGTAGAATCAATTTGACCACAGTTTTTTTCATTACCTTTAAACATTCTGCAAGGGAAGCAGAAGGCAGCATCAGCTGTAGGACTGTATTCTAGCCAATCGTACTGTTTATACCACTCTTTATGGAATGATCTAAATTTATTACCTTGAAGTTTTCGTGGATATAAACTTAAAATTGGTTTGTAACCACCTTTTAATATTCTCTCTTTTAAATTTAAGTGTGTTAACGACGATGGATGGATTGGATCATGTATATCAATAGAACTAACTGAAAGATAATAATAACTTAAATTAGTAATAAGTAATGACTAATGATAAATAATAATAATACCTGTAAATATTTACATACCTGTAACTTGAGCATCAGATGAAGTAATAACTTCTAAATTTGTCATGTAATCTTCTTGGCTTGTATTTTCACATTCTATTACTTGAGTATCAGATGAGGTGACAACTTTTAAATTAGGCTCTTTTTCTTGACTTGTATTATCACATTCATCATTTATTTGATTTTCACTGTTATGCTTCTTAAAACAAAATACAAAATAATATATGTATACTACCTTGCTAAGCAAAAGTGCTATAAAAATAAATATACATTTATTAATTTTTAATTTTTATTCTCAATTATATTTTATTAAGACAATCAGCTAATCATTGTTGTATTTCGATAAATAAATATATTTTTGCTTCTATTTTTATGTGCATCTTTTAAAATTTAAAATGCATATTTTAAAATTTTTTATCGCATACAATATACAAATAATAATTTTTTTTCAAGTAACAGCACTTTTGCTTAGCAGGGCACTAGGACAGTATTCAAGAGTAGAGCATTTAATACTTTAATTTATAATTTAATAGCTAAGCTATATGCATGTAATGTACTATATCCTACAGATTATAAGAAAATAAATAGTCTGTGTATTATTATACTTACCAAGATCAAGTTTGATACAGATGCAGGATCGTCAATATCGTGTTCATTAATTTTATTTATTGGCATAAAAAAGTGTTGTATATTTTGACACGATTTTGCCGCTACATTTAACTTAATTCTTTTTTTTTCACGCTCTTTAGCAGCTCCTCCTTTTGTAGTTATACTTTTGTTAATATCCATCGTTCAATCGTACAATCAAATTCAATTTAAAAATAAAATTAAAACACAACAAAGTCTCACCACGGACGCGAAAGACGTATCGTGTAGGTATGATTTGTGTACACACTACACGCTACACAGTCCGTCAGTCCACAGCACACGAACGCGAGAATATTAGTAATAACTAATAACTAATAATAACAATAGTACTGAATTTGTAAAAATAACATATTATCATGATATGATATTATATTATATTATATGATGATGGAAAACCCTACGTAAACGGTAAACTTGTATTCAATTATTCGGTATTCCAATAATAAGATAACAATCTTTACCATATTATTATTTATAGTTATTATTACATAATATTATACATCAATTATATAAATAAACTATAAAAACAATTTTGATACTAGTCAAAATAATATGTTTATACGACTATAATACACCATACTGTATAGTGTATACAAACTTTCAACTACAGAGTGAACATAGTGAATTATTCAATTTTTTCAAATCCACTATTTGGTAATTTCGGTAAATTAAGGCATAGGGCGCTTCGGCCCATGAAAAATCACGGGTCGTGCCTGGGCACGCCCGGCACGCCCTGTGCGCACGCCTATG